AAATGACTTAAAACATTAAAGGAAAGTGGTAATTTTTTTTTCTTCATATAAACTCTAGACATTTTTTTAAAAACCATAAAGGGAAAATAAGAGTTGCTCTTTCTACGCGGACTTACCAGTGTTCCAATTCATTTTGATTAAATTTTTTTTCCAATTTTTAAGTATTCTCAATTTATTTAATACTTCTTCAAAAGCCATATAGATTATTAATTTTTTTTTGCCTAATTAAAAAAAGTTAATTGATTTGAATTTTTTTTAAACTTTTAAATTAAAGATTTTTCCCTGTAATTCAGTATCCTTCTAATGGAAAGACAGGAAATGATCCGTTCGATTTTGCAGTCATTTTATCTTCAAATGCATTTTCCAACTGATTTTAACAATCGATTTTTTTGAAATTTGAATGTTGAATAATAAAATACTATATGGAATCAGCAGAGTGAAAAATTATAAAATTTTTCTTCACAGAAATAATTTCCATCCTTTGCAATTTTCATACAAATTTGGAGATTAATTTTGAGTTTCATTCTGATTTGGTGACCTGATAGATATATTTCACATTGCATTGTCCTATGGTAAACTGATACTAAATTCAAATTTTGATGAACAAAGCTGTTTAGAAACAAATTTTTGTATATAAATAATATTGATATTTTGAGGAGAAATCAACTTGACTTCGTTCATTCTTTCTCTCAATGTCCAAACCTGATAACTTCATTAATGCTAAAGTGTATAGTGAATTTTTTACATTTAATTAGGTAAACAATTTTTTTAGCATAAATACTGTTCTGAAATGTACACTCTAAAGTGAACATATATGCATATAATTAAATAATAAAACAAAGCTCCAATTTTCCTATTTCCAATAACGAGTTAAAACTTAATATATTATTAATAAAAGAGCTCTAAGTGTTTTCAAAAAGCTCTTTTTGTAAGAGATTTTTCTAATAAACGGCGTTGGTGAAATCAAGCATATTTCTCTTTACATCAAAGTTTTTCAAAAGGTTCATTACAAGCTTAACTTTTGTATGTGCTGCCATATGTAAGAAAATATAATAAAAAAATAATACCGTAAAAAAATTTTACCGTTAAACAAAAGTTTCAACGATGCTTTGATTTTAGAATTTTATCGTTTTCTTTACATGATAAATGCTGTTTTTTCAGTTAACGTAAGAGCATAAGCTATTGTATATTACAACATACGTAATAATATGTACAATAATATGTATGTATTTAAAGGCGAATATAGTTTATTTTCATTCAAAATAATGTGTTTGAGAAAATCTCTATAGGTTATATTTTCAGTGACAATCAATCATCAAAAAATAAATCTAATCCGATTTTAACCCGATTAAATATTACGTACAACCAAATGTGTAATACAATATACTAATTTTAAATTTAAGGTCAATATAAATAATGCCTTTAATCAATTATATTATATTAAAAAATATTAATCAAATATTATAAACAATTGAAAGATATTATATAGGTACTTAATTTTTATTAATGATCTACAATGCTCAATAGTATTTTTCATTTAAACACACATTCATATATTGTAAATCACATACAATATTGTGTATCGATACATAAGTAACTTATCTTTAGATTTTTGGTTTAAGCGAGCAGTTTTTGAAACGCTTTCCAAAAAAAAATTTTAATATTTCAAAAGTACGATTAGTGTTTTCTTTTAAAATACATATACATTTTTAAAAATCATGTTATGCAAACAAATTCACTCTAAACGAGATTTGATAACTTTCTATAAATCCGAGGGATGGATAAAAACCTTTGTCTGTTAGATGATTGATATTATTGACGATTAGGGTAAGATGGAAGAGCAACTCAACACTTCGATGTATTCAAAGGTTGAACTAACATCTACAAGGGGATAGATAGATAAAAATAAAAAAGCTTCTATCTTTTTTAATTTTTAAATCCATATTACGAAGTACGTTACTTATTAGCTTGTGTTATTAATAATTCATATTTTCTTAATGATACAAGTTTTTTGTCAAAATAAGGTATGTAAGTTTATTTCGACTGTGACACGTTTTACGTTTTTGATCATTTTGAAGAAAATATTCAAGAGATTTACCCGCAATTTCATATATAAGCTTCGTTCGACTGTACGCAAAACCTCCTAACTTTTGGAAGAAGTCAGATGTCAGCAACTGGACGTTTACTACGGGCCTAATAAACATTTTTGAGTACATAAAGAAAATTAAAAATCATCCGATTTCATTGAAGTTTAATATTAAAATTAGAGATGTTGAAATAATGAATCCATAGATTTTTTTGAAAGATCAGGGTTCGAAAAATGATCTAGGGGCCGATTTTACACTTTTGCCATATTTACGGATTACGGATTACGAATTGATAGATTTTAATTTTTGAAACTTAATATTTGAGCTTCCGCTATTACCAAAAAGAATACCTACAACCAGAAAATACCTGCATATTGTGTTTTATGAGCTCGCCTTGTCGAGTTATGAGCAAGTTGGAAAAACTGAAAATCGTCTAATTTTTACATTTTTTTGATAACTCGGGAAATATGACTGCTAAAAGCAACTTTGTGTACTCATTTTAATGCTCGTGGAATTCTACACCTGCGGTGTATCAGAAACGTCGAAGACTATTTTTGTTTTTTTAATAAAAATATCAAAATTAAAAAAAAATCTGATGTGTTCAGCACATAACCGACCGCAATGTGTATTGTCTAGCTAAGTGAAAGTGTTCCAGAATATTATAAAAAAGTCTGTTAAATACTTCTTTTCAATTTTCAGGGCATTAATGATCTTATAGGTAACATACCTGGAAAAATGTAAATTTGGCTCTTAGTAAAGTTTCCCTGCAATGCTCGCCATTTATTTTCGGTAACAACAAGAATTCAAATATCAAATTTCAAGAAATCGCATCAATTCGTTCCGTAGATATAGTAAAATATGTAAAATCGGCCCTCAGATCAGTTTCCGAGCTCAAAATTTATATGTTCATTGTTTTAATACGAAGAATTTAAAAATTAAATTTCAATGAAGTCGGTTGATTATTTCTGTTTATATACGCAAAAATGTATATTTGGCCAGTAGTAAACGTCCAGTTGCTGATCTGATTTAGGAGATTTTGCGGACGCTCGAGCGTAGCTAATATATGAAATTTCAAAGAAATCGGTTGAATATTTTCTTCATAATGATTAAAAATGAAAAACAGACCCGCTAAAAAGTACAGTTCCCGAAGTCTGATATATTTCAAAAGTTGATCAATCCGTGCCACAGTCGAAATAAACTTACACATAAAATTTCATCAAAATCGGTTCAGCCGAACATGAGATACACGCGTACACATACACACCGACAGACCGACAGGTTGCTAAAAATTGTTTATTTACACTTTCCTACCATGGAGAAATGCGTTTCCACCGAAAACTCCATATGCAAAATTTGTTGCCATCACATAACTTACCTATTGTATTCACAATAAGGTCGGTAACAAGTTTTTAGAAACAGTTTACTAAACCGAAAAATCTTATTAATATTAGCGCAAGTAAGATTTCCAAGGCTTGCAGAAGAAATAACACACGAAAAGAAAACGAAAAAAACAACATGCAGAAAAAGACAAAAGGAAAACGAAAAAAATATGTATTCTCAATTCTGTATATACTACATACATTAATGCTACATACTATGAAAATAATCGTGAAGGAAAAAGAGTGCGGAAGCGGGTCCGCTATTTACAAAATCGTGATATTATTAGAGAGCAACGGCAAGCACATTATTCACAAAATCGTGAAAATATAAGGGAACTGCAGCAAGCACATTATACACAAAATCGTGAAAATATAAGGGAACAGCAGCAAGCACATTATTCACACAATCGTGGATGTATGCACAACAACGCCGTCGTGTTGCTGTCAGATCTCATTTTAAATCTGGCATTATTGGATCAGAAAATTTTATTAATCCGTGCACTCATAATCTTGGACCTTTAAATAATGAATGCGTTTATTGCAAAGTTGTTCATTTAAAAAACGAGCGCAAAAGTATGTGTTGCCATATTAATAAAGTATCACATATTTCGGCTCAAAATATATCTTTTGCTGATTGATTGAAAAATTTATTTATCAGAAATGATGAATTGTCTAAAAATTTTAGGGAGTTTATTAGACAGTATAATAATGCAAATGCATTTGCATCGATAGGAGCCAAAATTGAACAAATTTCTGGCAATAGACCTTATTGCTATAAGACATTAGGTGAAGTTTATCATAGAACTTCAGAAAATATTGAAATTGATACATCATTACAACCAAACTGTGTTAGAGAAATGTCTCAGCCACCATCTTATGCTGAATTGTATGTTTATATTTTGTATACAGATATTTCTCTTGAAGCACGAATGTTAAATTCTGCTAACGCCCAATGCCGTCGTGAAAATATGATTATCATTAGCACAGCAATAAATGAAGTCTCTCCTTATGCCAGTTGTTATAAAAAACTTCGAGAAGTTTATGATAAAGAATTATCTGAGAGAAGAGCAGTTAATTTATCTATGAACAAAATATCATTGATTTTGATGGAAATATACCTGCTGAACTTGATTTTTCAGTTCAACCAAATAATTCCAAATAATATAGTTGTTGCTAATACTGCTGATATTTTATGGAATAATCTTAATAGTGATCAACTTTTAGCTGCAGATGCTATAATGAAATCCGTCCAAAATACAAATGTTCAAAAATGTTTTTATATCGATGGTAGTGGCAAAACATATTTATATCGCGCATTGATTGAAAAATTTAATCTAATTCATAAGAAAACATTAATTGTAGCATGGACAGGAATAGCAGCGATTTTATTCCCTGGAGGAATGACGTGTCATTGTTTACCTTTAGATTTGTCAACAGTTTAATTTCCTCGACTTTCTCAATCTAAAAGAGAAATTTTAAAATCTTTAGATTTGCTTATCTGGGATGAGGCGTTGCTTTGGTTTTCCAAGATTTGATGGATTACAAACTTCCTTTTGGAGGAAAAATTGTTATTTTAGGTAGCGATTTTCGTCAAGTTTTACCCGTTGTACGAAAAGGTTCTCGGGGTACAGTTGTCGAAAGTACAATTAAAAAGTCTATTTTATGGCAATACTTTCAAACCTTTAAACTAGAGCGGAATATGCGAGCTATTACTGATCCGGACTTTAGTCAATGGCTTTTAAACGTAGGTAATGGTGTTATTACTAAACCATCATCTGCTAAAACAAACTTTTCTATTAAGGTACCGAATTCATTTTTGTCAAATAATATAGTAACAGATATTTTTGGAACAAGTTTTACATGTACTGATGTACAAAATATTTCTCAACGTGCAATTCTTTGCCCTAAAAACGAACATGTACGGTTAATCAATGACAATGTTTTCGCTCTTTTACAAATTTCTGAAAAAATAACTTTCAATGCGATTGATTCCGTGAAAAACAATGATGGCTCTGAAAATGATAATTTACAAGTAAATATTCCAGTAGAATATTTGAATAGCTTAAATCCTCCTGGATTGCCCCCATTTAAATTAAATATTAAATTTAAAATAAATTAAATATTAAATAAATATTAAATCATCAAAATGTCATACAATGTAAAATCATTAATGGATCGTTTGCTGGATCGGTTCATTTTATTCCATGAATATCTTTAGATACAGCAAACGACCCCGCTCTCCCGTTTAATTTTGTTAGACATCAGTTTCCATTGAACCTTGCGTATGCTTTGACGATAAATAAATCTCAGGGCCAAACCTTTGAAAAAGTAGGAAATTACCTCGAAGATCCCTGTTTCTCGCACGGCCAACTTTATACTGGTTGTTCGAGAGCTATGAATTCTAGCTCTTTAAAAATCCAAATTAAAAATAATACGCTACAAGGAGGGTATTATTGTCTATAAAGAAATTTTTTAATATTATTTGTTCCTTCCGAATATTATTTGAAAAGTCTGACGAAAATAATGATGACCAAACTTACTAAATTATAATAGGTGTATCTATATGACTGTGTTTTATAGGGGCCACTAGTATCATATTAATATCGTATAAGATGTATACTGTTTTTGTGCACAACTTATTCATTTTCATTTTATTTTCATGTTCTTATAAGTTAAATAAGCTGAGCTTAATACGCTTAAGCAAAACGATTACAATCATATTGGGTATGTGGTATAATTATTCTTAATATTGGTATTGGCAATGAAGGTTTATAAATATGAAATTACAAAATTCATATGCAAATAATTACACTTAATTTTGCGGGTTCATTGTAGTTATGTGCTAACAACGGAAATTGTCCGCCGCTGTCTTATATAGAATAAAACGGATATATGTATAACGAGTATTTTACTTCAGTAAGAATTTATTTTTGTAGACCGTTAATATGTTCACACTAAATATATTATACAGGTGTTATAGTAAAACGGCATGACATACAAAAATGCAAGAACTTTGTAAAATATAAGTTCATGTTCATATCAAACTATTTTTCATTGATTGATTACTGTTGGTATGTGTAATTTTTAATATTCCTTTCTTCATTTCATTGTATATTTATGCACATAATTTTAACACGGTGAATGCCAATGAATCAGCCCATCCTCAACGGGAAGCACAAAAATAACCTCATTCCAACTTGAACATTTTTAAAACAACAATTTTTTTTTAAAGATGAATAACTAAAAAAATATGTTAATTTCTCTTGTAAAAGAAAATTTTTTTATTATTGAGTTTTTTTACACTTAAGGATTTCATCTGTGATACAGGGAGTTGTGGTAGTTTTTTTTATTTGCTAACTTTTTAGATGCTGCATCACACAATGCTTTGTTGTTTTTTAAATTATTTAATTTTGCAAAGTGTATATCTGTAGTAGTGTAAGAAAACCGGTTAGATAATCAAAAAAAATTATTAAAAAAAATTACTTAAGACGGGTGCCTCTGGCGCTCTCAAATATGCTACTAATAATAAGTGGTCAATATTGTTTTAAATTTAAACATTTTTTAAAAAGAAATTAGTAAGGGACTAATTAGTAAAGGATGTCAGAGAACAGTTTTTAACTAGCACAAACTCAGTTTAAAAAATGGTTTTAATAAAAAACTAGGTTGGACGATTATTTTCAAGAATTCAATCCAACTTTCGAAATCACTGAAATTTCCTTGAACTATACTTTTTCCACCTGAAGAATTCCATAATATAGTGGCAACATTAATGTGAAAAAAATCGCTATTCTTCAGTTTCTTTGAATCCTGTTGTAATTATTTATATTCTATCTAAGACGTTAAACATTCTGTCATGTTCAAAATATCTTTGATTTTATGTTTTAAATTTGAACTTTTTACTTTCACGGCATAACAATTTTTATGATATTTGAAAATTAATGATAAAGCATATCTAGAAGACATACAAGATAAAAATTTAAGGGTCTATTAATTTTTATCACGATAATTTGAATTTTTGTACTTTACAGAGCATAAAAGTAACAAATACAATCTTCTAATAAAATTAATAGAATACAGTGCTAAGGGTGTCAAGGATATTGTGAGTTATTTAAGCCAGTAAGTTTCTTTAAAATTTCCTCAATAAAATTTTGAAACTTTTTTTCGAAATTCGGAAATAGTTCAAAACTCACTTTATCTTTAGCACTTTTCCAAAAAAAATTTGGAAAAAGTTCTTATTAATTTCACTCTTTTCGTCCGTTCATCCGTGGACGTGTTAACAAACAACGTGGGTGTTTCTACACCCTTGAAGATAGAAAACAGAAAAAATTTGTATCTATCTCCCCTCCTCTAAAAGTTATAATCCTCAAAAATTTTTTAACTATTTATTGAAAAAAAAAAACACAAATGATTTTTTCCAAACCTTTCGCGAACCATATTTGTGCTTATAAAAAACAAAATGACCGTTAAAATTTAACGTTATCTATAGAAGTAAATTTTTTTCACCTGCACCTACAGGTTATCAGTTCTCGAAATTTGTAAAATTTAAATTTTTGGAATCTTATATTCCCGAAACACTAAGCTTTTCTAAGCTTATATAAATACAGGAAGCTAAAGGTGAATGCCATACCATCAAAAAATACAATTCTCTTTTATTTCACGCAATTAACTCTCAAATTCGAGCATTATGTTAACGCTACTTTAAAATTTGCGGTCTTTAAAAAATTTTGATATTAGAATGAAAGTCGTTTTAATAATGTGAATATTGTTTTTAAAACCAGTACTTTCCCTTGTTGAAAGGAAAAGTGCTACTTTACAAACCATTGGTTTGACCCGCGTTTATTATATATAAAAATAACGCGATTTTTTAATATTTAGTATAAAAATAAACAGATTAAGCTTTATGGCTATAAATTTAAATATATACAAAATTTTTTTATTATGCTGTGAGAAATTTCTAATGATTTTACAAAATAACTTGCAAAAATATGACTAATTATTGCTTCGAAACTTTCTTCCTTCTTATTAATATGTATTTTTAATTTCTTTTATTTCCATGTAGCAGCAATCATCAACAACTACCAAATAGAGATAATAATAATTGGGAAAATATAAAGAAAATTGTGTACAATTAACTATATGAACTTTAAAAGTTAGTCATATGAACAAACTCGAGGTGTTTTAAATGTGGATTTTCCGAAAAATGCTGAAGATATCTTGGGTAAATCACATTCCAAACGAAGAGGGTCTGAGAAGAATGCATACAAATCGAGAGCTTTTAACAAATGTGAAAAGAAGAAAGATCTCTTACCTCGGGCATATGATGAGAAACGACAAATATGAAATTCTTCAACTCATTGTTCAAGGCAAAATCGAAGGTAGAAGAGGAGTTTTCAGAAAACAATTATCATGGCTCCGTAATATAAGAAATTGGACTGGTATAACAAATGCGGGCGAATTGATACGCCAGACAACTGATAGGGACAGATTCAAAAATTTAATACTCAGCATCATATGATCGCTAACTTCCAGTAGTGGATATGCAGTGCAAGAAGAAGAACTATATGAAACGAAAGTTAGATAATATGTGCTCTTGGTAAATATATGGTAAAAAAAATCTGAGTTGATCACCACATAACTGACCGCGATGTGTATGGTCTAGTTAAGTGAAAGTGTTACAGAATATTATAAAAATGCCTTCTTAAATACTTCTATCCAATTTTTAGGGCACTAGTAAGTTTATAGTTAACATACCCAGAAAAATATAAATTTGGCTCTTTGTTGAGTTTCGCCTTGTGCTATTCGAATTCCCTGAAATGCTCGCCATTTAGTTTCGGTAACAACTAAAAGTCAAATATCAAATTTCAAGTAACAAAAAACAACCAGCGTTGTAAAATAACTTACCCAAAAGTTGGAATCAAGTTGAAAAATAACAATTAACTATTTAGACAGTATTTTATAATATAGCAACCGTTTGTGCTGTGTTTTGCAAATATCAATTTGCAGCTTTTCGCAAATTCTTTTATAGCTTTCAACATTTTTTCGATTTTTTCATCTGATTTTACAGCATATTTTTCAACTATTTTTTTGAAGTACTTTTGTACTATTCCGCAACCTATCCAATTACTTTTAAGTTACTATTAAGCACAGTGTAAACGTTAAATTCGAGCTTAAAAGTCATAATAGCTTTTTTATTAACCGTTTTATAACTTTTAACTTTTTTGGATTTTTTTAAGCTTATTTTAGACAATATTTTTTAAACTGCTAATTTTGATTTCATTTTATATCATTCCGAATCTTACCCACTTACTTCTAAGTTACAATTAAACTTACTATAACCTTTGTGCTGATACCTAAAAGTTTTATTAGCTTTTTGTTAGCCCTATTATAACTTTTAATTTTTTAATTAAACCGTATGTTCCGTACCTTTTTGTTAAGTAACTTTAAAGTTGGAGTTGAACTTACTGAAAACGTTGAATTGTATTTTGAAAGTAATACCAAAACTCTATTTCAACTCATTAGTTGATTTTAAACTCGATATACTACGTTTGGACCTTAGAAGTAGTAACGCAAATTTTAAAGAACTTAACTTTGTTTATAGTAATAAAAGACTAGGTTTCAATATCACGATCAAATAAGACTTATGAAGCTCTTCCTGTAATAATCTTAATAACAGGGTGACCTCCCCATAACTTTCTTGGAATTTTTTAGTTGTAAAATAATTCATTTGTAGCCTACAAAAATGAATTATTTTACAACTAAAAAATTCTTCTCTTTCGATGGGATTCCACCTTGCCGTGGTGAAGGAGCTTAAGTAGGGTCAATGATCTTGAGAGCGATGTCGGCGGGTACTACAATTCTGTGGTATCTGGAAGGTGCAACCATGCCGATAAGGTCGAAAGTGAGACCAGAAAAACCAAGAGAATCTCACGGGCTTGAAGTAACGGTGCAAGCCAATCTTCAGCAAGTCCCATGGGCATGAAGTAACAGCGTAAGCTAATCTTCAACAAGTCCCACCCCCCCCCCCAATCCAATGGTGTTATACGACCCGTGCCTAGTGGACTAGTTGGTAGCCGGGGGGTATACTGGCTACCGCGAACGGAGTCTCTCTGATACCGGGTCGCCTCAGAGAGTAACGATGACCTTATCCTGGTAAGTCGGCTCTGGCAGGATGGACTGTTTTTCCGGACACACTCGTGGGATCAAAATGGAAGATTCGATTAAAAAAATTTTAAAAAAACAAGAGCCAATTGGCACCTCGTCAGAAGACGAGATACTAGCTTCCAGTCAGGAAGCAGGTGTATCGATTGGTGGTGATGAAACCAGTAAGGTAGCAAAACCACCAAAACAATCTACACAAAAAGCTAAAGGAACCAGCCATAGTTCCAAAAGCAGAAAATCAAAAGGACCCGCCTTCGTACTCAAGAAGAGATATTCGAAGGCCATCTTCATTTTAGGCAAGATTGCCCAGAATGAAGCAGAAGGTAAAACTTCTGAAAAAGACGCGGAGGACAAAGTCAAATACCAGAAGGTAATTGACGAGTACAATGCGTATAAGAGCACGAAGCCTCAGGAGACCACAAAAAGAGTAAGGTCTCAAGATGAAGACAGAAATGCTCAAGAGAGCAAAAGGTCGAAGGTCGTCAAGCCAGGGACAACCAGACCTTCAACATCAAGTGGAAATCATGCACAGGGGAGAACAATGAGCGAGGTGGTCCGTGATCATCTCCAGTTTGGGGTGGTGGACAGAAAGTCTACCAACCTGAAGTTGTCCTCCGAATTATGGTGCAAGGTCGAAGCAAAATTATCGGAGATGGTAGTTGAACATCTCCTAACGACCGATGGCAACGAAGTCCTGAGCTTCGATTCATCTGAGGTAGTCAGGGGCTACAGGGTGATCAAATGCGAGGACCGGCTTTCCGGGGATTTTCTTAGTTCGTGTGTTGCTAAGATTAGCGATACATGGGATGGGTCCAAGATTGAGCTCATCCCAGCTAAGGAAATTCCTAGGAGACCCCGGGCTCGTATTTGGATCCCTAAGATGAATATTGCGGGGGACAAGTTGCTAAAGGTCCTAAAGATTGCCAATCCTGAGGTGCCGATGGATGATTGGCAAATTATCAAGAAGGAGGAACCTCAGAAAAACAGTGAGTCCTTCCTACTTCTCATTAATGAGGAGAGTCTACAGCCGTTGGACAGGAGGGACAACAGACTGCGGTTTGGCATACGGCATGCCAAGCTCAAAATATTTCGAAATGCGGACCCAGAAGGGGACGCCATAGAAGAAGCGAGCCAGCTCCTTGAACAGATGGAGGTGGCTGATAAGAGCAAGAGCGATGAGGGTAATCCAGGTTAATCTCAAGCATTCGAGATTAGCCTCGGATAACCTATTGATCTTCCTAGAAGAGGAAGACATCGACATCGCTCTAATTCAGGAGCCTTGGGTGAACGGTAACAGGATAAAGGGACTGGGCACCCAGAAATACAACCTATTCTACAGGATTGTAGATCCAGCTGAAGGTAAGATCAGAACTTGTGTCTTAACTAAAAAACATATAAAAGCCTTTCTTTGCTCTAATTTCAGTACCGCAGACATGACGGTGGTGAGGATTGAAGGAAACGGCGGGAACCTATTAATGAGCTCAGTCTACATGGCTCATGATAGGCCTGCTCCACCTCCGGAAGTTCAAAACCTAGCAGAGGTTGGCGCAGCCGAAGGAGCAAGTCTGCTTATGGGTTGCGACGCCAATGCCAGACATACCCTCTGGGGCAGCACAGAGATCAACGAACGAGGTGAGTCTTTATTTAATTTTGTCTTAGATAGTAATCTAGAGATAGCAAATAGAGGCAACACTCCTACCTTCACTTTTCCTAGCACAGACAGGTTTGCTGGCTGGGAAGATGTGATAGATATAACACTCAAAACTAACAACTGTATAATCGAGGACTGGAGGGTATCTAGCAAAAGGTCGTATTCTGACCATGCCTGGATAGTCTTCACGGTGGGATTCGAAGTTGGGAATCCCAAACCTTTTAGGAACCCTAAAAGAACAGATTGGGTTAAATTCAGAGCCATCGTGCGGGCCAAGCTCATGGTCATGCCCGATATTAACAACTATATTAAGGAAGTCGAAGAACTTGATGCGCAAATCAGTAGATTTGAGAAAGTCATGGGCGTGGCTTTCAGAGCATCCTGTCCTTTGAAATATTCAAAAAAAAAGTATCCCCCGTGGTGGAACGAAGATTTGAGTAATCTCCGGAAGATTACCAGGGATGTCTTCAATATCTGCTACAAGAATGGGTTCTGGCAACCTTATAAGGAGTGCCTGAGAGAGTATAAAAGGGCTATCCGTTCCGCAAAAAGCCAGGGTTGGAGGGATTTTTGCGGAACTGTAGAATGTACCAGGGATTCTGCCAGATTGAGCAGAGTGCTTTCCAAGGACCATACCAGTCCTTCTTTTCTGAAGGATGAGGGTGGGACATGGACAAAAACATCTATGGAAACTCTCAATTTACTAGTGGACACGCATTTCCCGGGTAATACCGGGTCGGCTCGGGAGGCTATCCAGTTGGATTCCCTTCCGGGGCAGCCTGTGTCGAGTGAAATGGTTGAAGCTATTATAACGGTGGAGAAGGTTAGCTGGGCGATAGATAACTTCTCTCCATACAAAACGGCGGGGATAGATGAGATATTTCCAGCTATGTTACAGGAGACGAAGGAACTAATAGTTCCGTGGCTTCTAAAAGTTTTTAGAAGTTGTCTTATCCTTGGATACGTGCCCAAGTCGTGGAGACGTGTAAAAGTTGTTTTCATTCCCAAACCGGGAAGAAGGGGCCATGAGGGCGCCAAAGATTTTCGACCAATTAGTTTGACTTCCTTCGTTCTAAAAGCGCTGGAGCGCGTTCTGGAGCTAGGGCTCAGGAACAGAATGAAGGAAGTTCGACTTTCGCCTTCCCAGCATGCATATTGCGGGGGAAGGTCCACAGACACCGCACTACACGAGGTAATGAGGACTATCGAACAATCTATCCATTATAAGCAATACACGTTGGCGGCCTTTCTAGACGTGGAAGGGGCTTTCAACAATA